CATTTTAGGATCAATTCCCACCTACAGAGATGTAAGAGTAAACTAAAACAAAATGATATATTTGTCATAAATAATATCATGATGGAAACAAACAGGTCTAAATAAGTCTACTCTAACTTACAAATCAGTAAGTCGTTCGAATAAAGAAGCTATATCTAGAAGACAGCTTCAGTTTTATAATCCCGAGAAATTTATATCATATTTCGAGGCCCTCTCTCTTCACTGAGAAGTTCGGAGAGGGCCTAGAAGAGATAATTGTCTAGGAGAAGAAACAATGAAATATTCAAAAATATTATGTAGCTAAACAACGCGAAAGTCCCCCTTATCTCCCTATGCTATCTCTCTCTCTCCGAAGAAGGAAACTTTCGCTAAGCAGAAGAAAGAGATTTGATTTAGCAACTAACTTTGTTTTTCACAGTAGTAAATCTTTCAGATTATTCGACCGTAAACCTAAGTTACTTTTCCTTTCACCCATGCAAATCCATATAGTAGGGGCGGAAAGGAAGCTATGTCGCCAAACGGGGAAGGGGGGTCACTGGATCACATCTGTAACAAACCCGTACCTCCACAAATAGCAATTCAGCTGCAGTTCGTTGCAGCTATCCGCGAAGGTGGAGTCTATAGGCGCATATTGTCGCCTGCCTTGCCGGAGCCCTGTAGCCAAGCGTAAGCCATATACAAGCTGCTTTCTATGCTACAGTATACTGTAGCGTGTGGGGATCCCGCCGCACTCAAAGGTTGCCCTTCTTTCTATCAGTTGTTCTCAACCTTCCTTTAGCCCACGTATACTGTATGCACTCTGCAACAATCAAACACTTGAGTCAGGCAATTTTCAGCCTCCGTCATGTAGCTTTCTTATTCGTCCACGCTTCCGAGAAACTTCTTCTACAATGCTCACCTGGATTTTTAGACTAATTTGTTCGATGTTAAACAGGTCATTTGTATCAAATTTAGTCCATTTCAAATAATTTCACGGCCCATTTTCATGAAAATAGAGGTTATAAGTTGCTGCGCCCTAACATGATAGTTCGTATTCGCAAGAGAAAGCAGACGGTGAGAGAAATGAAAGTGCAGTTCTTAGAACGCAGGCGGCCTGCGCAGCAGCGCCCTTTCTCTGCGTGCGCTGAATCGCATATCTTCCCGTCCTGCAGCTCAAAACTTTTTGGTTGAGCACCTCTAAAAAAGAAGTGAAATGAGTTTATCAGTAAGTAAAGATGACTTCCATTTGATGCTCAGTGCCTGCATGGACTGCCACAAGCTCTGCAAGTCTGCTACTCTCAACTGCATATGATGAAAAGGCAAAAACTTATAAAAAGCCATTATTCCCACTTTTTTCATTAGAATCGCTTTGTTGTCCTTGAATTATTCTGCACTTAAATATTTGCTTAAGAAACTGCTTGTTGAAGTTGCTTGTTATTGCAGAGCAAAGTTCATCAATCAAGGCTTGCAACCTTTTCAACCTAAAAATTAAAAAAAACTGAATCTGAACAGGTGGTCGACCCACTTCCTTGTTATTGCCTTGGAATATATGCACATCCAAAAGCGGAAAGAAAACATCGCGCAATTCCCAAAATGCTTGTGCCCAACAAAACAAAATCATAAAGCTGCACCAATCTCAATTAGACCTCGCAGGGATTCCATGAGGCCCTGAAATGCCATATAACGACCCAACAAACTCAATCATTCATCTGCATGAGTTTTTGCTTTCCAGTGGAGACCAACAAAAGCTATAAAGTCGGGAAGCCTAAATACGGCTAAGCTCAACCAAAATGGGTTTTTCAAAATTGTATAATTTCTTCATGCTCCTGTTCGTTAGTAGTCTTTGATCCAACTGGAATGGCGATTGGAAGGCGGGGCTTTGGCCCGTAGTAATCTACCCGACATGTTGGCATAAGACATGACGGCAACCTCGCGAACCTCATGACAAGCTCATGTTTTGGGCATGAGGTTCACGAGTTCCTATGCCTTCTTAATAGTTATCACGGAGCAATCTGAGGTCGATCGCAAAACCATTGCACCTTGTGGGATGGAACTCTTCTTTGTTCAGCGAGAGTCAGCATACTAACCCGTTAGACTACACGTGTACATTACACATCATTCTAGGGAGCGTAATCAATCACACCAGTGATCTTGGATTAACACTTATCTGTAACATGTACTATTTTGTATTAACATAGTGTATTAACATGTTCACTCTACGTACAAGTGGATACTGAGCTACCTCTAGACAAAGCTAACGCTTCCAGCAAGTTTACAGAAACAAAATTCAACTCCATCAGATCGCATATTCAGGAACATGCTCAAAATCATACTACATTCTATGCCGGCCGCAAGAGATAAGAAAATAACCGCTTTAGTAGGCGACAAATGCATAATTGAAGGACTAGACACATTTTTGCGCGTTTTTTTTGCATAAAAAACCGCCTAGAAAGATATTTGGTGACTATGGCCTTCCCTAATAAAATGTATGCTACTATCTAAGTTTCTCTTAGCAGGCTAATTCCGAAGTAAATTTCACTATCTGTTGCGCAGTTTCCAGAAACGTTGACAAATCCGTGCTATCTTGAAAGAAAATTAGCATTGCTTTGGAAATCTGTTTTCATCTCATCAAATTATTGTTTTTTTGCTCAAATGAGCAGCACTATATCTGTATACTGTTTTTGAGGTCAAAACTTTCTATCTACCAAATTGAACCATCTTTGCCTTTGTGAAGTTCTCGCATTCTTATTCCATCAGAACATCGCTTATCAGAGACCAATTCAAAATGATAGATTTGTAATCAGCGTTACAAGAAGTATCGCATGGTTTGCATACATATGTGTCTTTCCAATATCTCTGGAGGCAATTGGACGTACGTCTAGAACACTTTTTCGATATATCAGCCCACCTGCTACATGACACATTGTGTGTGCCCGGGTACAGAGGGGCCGAAGTCATCCATGACATCTTTAACAAAGTCGACACAAAGAAATTAGAATAGAGTGTCAAAGAGATGCTAGTGAAACAATTTGTACGTCGTTCATCACTAGAAACTGAAACTTAGAACTTTCCAAAATGGCTACAAAAGAAATTAAGGAGTAGCTGCCTTCTAGCGAAAAAAAAACAAACTATTGCTTTGAGATACCTTCTAGCCTATAGATAGTCTTGCTTACTCACAGTATGTTTTAGCAAGATGTATGGAAGTCTTTCATGCACGGTTCTTTATGTTCGCTTCGCTTCGCGAGCGCTGATGTTTTACTAGCCAGGAAACGAAGGGATTAAGGAAGCGCAAACACTGCTTCCCTGAACGATATGAAATATTGTCGTCGGGGTGCAGAGCGAACTGATGAGCATGTCATTCAAATTTCGCCTAAATCGAAAAATTGCAACAATTTTCTGCGCCCCATAGCATACTATAACCTTCAGCCGGCTCATCCTCTAGTGGTCGAGATTGGCATATGACAGCTGTTACTAGCACAATCACCAAATGCTGTGTAAAAGGCATGTGATTGCGGGTAGAGGAAGAAATACTTTTGACCGCCTTCGCGGACTACTGGTCCTGACATGGTATACAGCAGTGAGACGAAAGGACCAGCAGTCCGGGAGGCGGTGACAAATATAGGAGTTGGTTCTTTTATGCTCTCATTGCTCCGGCGGCTTGCATCCTCGAGTCGAGCCGTCTCGCTCGCCTTGAGCCCCATCCATCCGTTCATACAAAATTCCGCGACCGCGGACCAAGGCAATCGAAACAGCTCGACGATCTAAGCCGCCGAAGTCGTGACGATGTCAGCTGAGCAGTTCCAATGGATACGTCCGCGAAAAGGCAATCTCGAAGATACATTTCGAACTATCAGAGCTCTTGTAAAGATGATACAGTAAGAGGGAATAAGATTCAACACAAACAAAACTTATATACTTTCATTTCAATCCACTTCGATTTGAAAAATCAATTCTTTTCATCATTTCAATCCAAAATTGCGCATAAAAATGTGGTCAGTGTAGCGAAATGAATGGCACCTCACTTCTCTGCTGGTTAACTTCCTCGTGCCTCTTTGTTGCCTAAATCGAAGCTCACCAACTCACTAATGTTGAGATAACGTTATAGAACAAACGTTATAGAACACAACAAATGACTCACCGTTCTTTGAATCTCTCGATGTGTCTCTGCCTCTTTCTTTTTGCCCTCTTCTCCGTTCAAATCCTCCATTGAGTCCTTGCAACAATCTTCTATGTCTTCTCAGAAAGCTGGAAGGTCTTTAAAACGTCATCTATGTAAACAAACGTAAGCGCAATTCAAAATTCTGCGAATAGCGGGAAACGCGGCGCGGTCCCGAAACGAACGCACTTGCAAATAGCACCTTTCGATTACTGGTTCACTAGTTGAACACTAAAAATGTCAATCTGATGTCCAGCTAATAATGAAAATTGGCCACTTGGCATACACACCGATGGTTTTATAGGGCCCTGCGTGATCGCGAGGGTCGGCGCGGTTGCGGCCATTGCTGGCGCAATGACCTTCCTTGGTATTGCTTTCCTTTCGAACGCTCTGCTGCTACTGGATATTAGCTTCAGATCACTTGAGTCGATTTTGAAAAGTACGGGGTCGTTCAGTTGGTTTGAGGCCTTCTGGCATCCTGTATGCGCAATAGCCGCAAACTCGCCGACTCCCGCAATCATGCAGAGCCCTATACACTGTTCCCCGTGCCAACAGGGTTTTTGTGCATACGACACAAAAGGAAAGCAAATCAGACTGGTTAACAGGGAATTTCGACAGAAGATTTTTAGAAGCAAAAGATCGAACTTCAAGAAAGGAGAAGAGTGAAACAAATGTAAACTCATAATCCTTCTAGTGCACTTCTTCACTTCTGATGCAAAATCAGGGAACAGAATAAAAGTAAGAAAACGTTAAAAAGACTCACCGGCATGTGCGACGAGACGGAAAACTTTCAATTTTCAGTAGTGGAAGCAATACCAGGATATAGCAATTAAGATTTGATACGGAAAGGAAGATTTTGAATCCATCAAACTATAAATACAGATAAGAAGCCGAATTAGAGTGAAAGTCTAGAAAATGGACTCTTACCTGTAGTTGACAAATCACACGTGAGGCACAAAATCATGAGTAGAAGCGAAGTGGGTTGAGTGATTGAAACCGATGAGTTGGCGAACTTTGTAGCGAGCTGAAAATGCTGAGAAGAGATTTGGGGAAAAATCTAGTGGCAGGAAGTTTAGAGACAGATGAATCAAGAAAATCGAGTAAACATTTGAAAATCAATGAAAGTGAAAGCCTCACATGTTCTGCATCAAGCAAAAAAAACAATTCATTTATGAGAAGAAGAACCAACCAACCAATCTCATCCCAGTAATATTGCTGAGAATCGACTTGATGAGTTTGCATTCGATGCTGGTCATCGGATAATAACCAAAATAGGTTGGCATTGAATCGTAACGATGAGCTGAGCTAAAATCCAGTGAATTAAGTTATACTATACGGCTGCCCACTCTCTTCAGAACAGCGCGCTGCCTCCATAACTGCAGGTGTCAAAACGTAGATTTCCAACCAAAAAAAAAGCAGGAAAGCAAGAGTTGTGGAAATCGCATTTCTTCCATAGGAAGTACATGCAATAAGTAGTAGTTACCATAGTTAAGTTAGCATAGTTAACGCGATTTCGTCTCGCGATTCTCCTGACAAGACAACTGTTACGAGCTCATTGCATGCCTCACCTTACATGGTTGTAACAGTTTTCCGACACGACTAATCATGATCGTGACTATCTCAACCGAAATGTAAAATGATCGACATGCAATATACTCTAAGCGACCCGTCATAGTTCGCCGAGAAAAGTTCAAAAGCGCTCAAAAAAGCCCAAAAAGCCCAAAGAAGCCCGAAAAAGCCCAAAGAAGCCCAAAAGGCCCGAAAAAGCCCAAAAGCGCCAGAAAGAGCCGGAACACATGAGCGAACTTTCGTTAGGACATTTATTTGATGTGCACGCGACAGAAAATGAACCAAAAGACCCGGTTGCGAAATCAACGCACATGCCCTAGCCCAAAACTTGCGAGGGGTTCCGACTCTTTCTGGCCCTTTTGGGCTTTTTTGGCCTTTTGGTCTTTTTTGGGCGCTTTTGGGCTTTTTTCGGCGAAGTATGACGGGTCCCTAACAGTTGTCTTGAGGGAGATTCGTAGGCAGAAATCGCGATGAACTCGACTTTTCAAAATTGCAACTATATCCGAGGCCATATGCAAAATTTGCTACAGTACTTTTCCCACTGTGACCGCAGTGAAGAGAAGAAAGTGGAGAAAACATAACGAAAATATGAAGGAACTAAAGAAAACATGATTTTTATATGCTTCTTACCTTTCTTGCTAGAACAGTTTGACCAAAAGCAAGAAATCCACTATCCTCCGATCTAAAATGACAATGTACAGTCAAGTATACACCGTGTCAACCTTAGGTTCTCTTTTCCACCAGCCAAATTGCAACCCCAGAGCCCTGCGTTGCGTTGGCGCAGGCAAATGCGTATATAAAACTTCCTCATCGATCGAGGTCACCGCGCTAGGCCCTTGTGGTACGGACCGTAGCTGCCACGGAAAAGGGAGCAGTTGGTTGACATCGATTGTAAATTTTCCACTTAATACGGTGTGCTTGCGGTGCTGAGAAAATGGGGTGAATTTGCGCGTGAACAAATAGCACGCCAGTAATGCCGGCGTTTTGCTCGCGCAGGTGGCCGACATCACAGGCGTAGCTATTTGTTTACGCGCAAAATGCACCGCATTTTCTCGGCACCGCAAGCACACTGTATTGATTGGGAAATCTACTTAACTGCATAAAAAGTGCACAGGTGATTGAAATTGAATACAATCACTACGGACACACATTTGCCAATCAGAACCGTTAGCAAAGTAAGCTCCACAAAAGAGGACGCTTCAATTCAAAGCTTGCGTAATAATATGACTGTTTTGAAAAAGAAACAGTTATAGTAAAGATTCGAATCATTTTTACCTGGCAAGATGAAGTCATAGTTGTGAAAGGATATGCTTCTCGGCCAAATGTGAATAATGCACCGCGTTTATTCCATATTTTCACCTAAGAAACGAAGTGTCACAGCTTATAAATCTGGAGATATGGTGAGCTGTCACTGAAGAAAGTCCATCAAAACAGCATATTTGGTATATCAGTGCTGCTCTTTACAAGTGAACAGTCAAACAACTCCTTGATTTTTTTTCGAATTACGTGGAGGTTTGCCTTGCAAAGGAGAGTTTTGATAATCACATCCATCATTAATAGCATGATATAGAAATTCATAAATCTTCCCATATAAGCATGTTTTTGCTTGAGAGCAAGGAAAACCAAAAGATTCAAGAAATTGCCTTTCATAAGTAGGCTTATTCTGAGGATTTCAAAAAGGGCAAACTGCTCTCCCAAAGATGGCGAATACTGAAACAACTTCAAGACCATGATAGTGAAATCATTAATAGAGTCAAATACAAATGATAACAGTTTACTAGGTCGTGAAGTGAGCCGCCTTCGCATACGCGTCGCGGTCAATGGACCGCTTTCTTTAGGGAGCAGCCATTGGATTGAACATCAGAACAAAACCACAGACCTAAGTCTACTAAAAAAAATAGAAGATACTGCGTAAGTTGACTGTTTGCTGAATAACAAAGCTTTAGTCACAAGTATGTCAATCGTGCAATCCCTCTGCGCAATCTCTAAGCAAGTGCACAGTTTCTGTACGGGGCTATGGGGTCCTGTGTTGACTTTTATGAGTAAAAGGGCCTACTCAACTGTTGCTCATCATCAGCGTAACATGAGCGCAAATCGAAAGATGAAGAACGAGAGATACAAGCAGATTCAAAGATCAGTATTCCCTAGGGGAATTTGTGGCAAGGTGGTCAACACCGGGAGACGGTCAAGAGGCGCGATTTCTTTGGCTGTCACCAACTTAAAACTCTAGTTTAGTGCTATGCGAGTCTTCAAAAATTACCAGATAAACTGCATTAGCTTACTATCTGTTTGAAGTCACCACTTCCTGAGTTTCATGGTTTTTGCTCTGAATCGGACTGAAATATTTACGAATTTGTTCTGAAATGCATTTTCATGAGTTTTTGACCTTCAAAATTGCTGTTTTGAATTTCTATTAGAGCATCAAGATTGAACAGCTCATGCAACTACTTAATATATCTTCTTCTAAATTTCATAAACTTTTAGAAAGTTGCAAAACACTTATTATGTGTTATTTGGTGTCCAGCTGGCAATAAAAATCGCGCCTCTTGACATACACCCGTCAACACCACCACAAGAATTTACAGATCAAAAGATAACGTTTATCATAATCTGATAACCATCTTTTCAATGGTACTTTCAAATGCGGATTGTTGCGAACTCCCGTCATTTTCGTAATATAGGGTCGATGCTAAACTTAACAGCAAAATGAAAAAAAAGATGAAAACCTAGAGACCCACCAGCATCTGTAAAAAGATTGAAAAACGAATGTAGACGAACGCAGTTGATTAATATGAGACAGAGAATGACGTACAAGATTCCTGTGGGTTCCAGCCGATGAGCGAGCAAATTTCGTGGCGGGCTGAAAGTCCTAAGAAGAGATTTGGAAGAGTTTCTGGTGCCAGAACTGTAAAAACAAACAATTAGAAACAACTGAGGCCTGAACGTTCGAAGGGCACCAGTGCACCAGTGAAATATGCTAAAACTCACTTGTATTACTTTGATCCTCAGAGAAAACAAATAATGACGACAAGCATCTCGACAGAAGTCTGCAAAGTTCAATTTCTGCAACGAAGTATAGTTTGTGCATTTTGCTCTATGTGTGTTCGTTCTTTCTCGGGAAACCTCTCCGTAAACGAGTTGACGTTAGCAGTTATACAGCGCAGTGTTTCGAGAAAGAGTGGACAGCCACATGCGAGTTAACTTGCTTTGAGCTCACTGTTGCTTTAATCGGAGCGTGCAAATCATTGAGGATAGAAGCCAACAAGGTACTGAAGAGCAGGTATAGGCCCAATGTTATGACCAGAACTCGGAAAAACAAAGCAGGTTAACTTAACTATTACATTTCTGCGACTAACCACTCCTTTTCTAACCAGCCGTCTACATAATCAAGGATGAAACCGTGACGGCAGCTGTTTTGTCTTTTAAAGACTGTCAACAATGCGAATAAAACATTTCGTTTGTCGAATACAGCAGATCCTACCAGCAGTTTTACCATCCAAAAACATGCATGGCCATCCCTTCATCGACTGAGTGACAGAAAATCCATTCCAAAACTAGAGAAATAATGACCGGCGATTGGTTTACTTACTGTCAGCTTACCTGTAAAATTCATAAGTAGCAAGAAACACACAATAGGAATGGAAAAAACGGTTGAAGTTATGTAAACATGCGTTCCACGATGGTTTTTTGCCCAGCAAGGCAAAAAAGTTTATCATTCCAGCAGTTTTTGATATTTTCTAACTGTTTTGGACCATGAGGATGTCTCAATTGCAAAAGAAAAATAACAAAAATAAAGAAAACGTTTGAAAATCCGGCACTAAACAAAGCAATGTCATGAACCTGCCGGCATCTCGACATGGTCCGACCACGACGAGATGCCGGCAGGTTGCACTCCTCAATATGCACGCTATTTTCCTTTCTTTGCTGACATGAGGGCGAGATGCCGGCAGGTTGAGGGCGAGATCGCGGCAGAAATCTCGACAAAATACCTCACGAAGTTGCCGGCAGGTCAATCTTTTGGGTCCAAAATTTGAAGTTGTCGGGATTTTTCGGATTTTTTTCGATCTCCATCTGGTGCCCACCTCTAAGCTGGACCGTCAGTCCTGGAGAGCGCCAAACTGATTGCTTTGGGGAAGCTAGAGAGGGCGCTGACAGTTTTCATGACTTGAGGGCGAGATCGCGGCGAGTTGAGGGCAAGACCTGCCGGCAGGTAGGGTAGATTACTACGGGCCTTTTTTGTGACCTAATTAAGGCCGTTTGCGCCCGCGACACAGTATGCGTCTCTCTCTCGAGCGCGCTCTCCGATCATCCTCTAGCCTTTACTAGGTCACGAAGCCCCGTCTTCCAGCCGCCAATCCAGGTGAATCAAAGGGTAGTTCTGGAGGAAAAACCACCACCACAAAAAAAACCACCACCACCAAGCATGCACATGCACTCCTACCTTTCAAAACGTCTTTTTCTTCAGCTTTTTTGTATTCTCATCTTAATAAGAAAATCATTGCTAGTTTACACAAAACCATAACTCAAACTTCTCGTATCTTTGTGAAATCCACAGGTAAAAGACGAAATTTATTTTGAAACGTGAATTAGACTTGCGCTACGCTTATTGAGTTACAGTTTTCAAAATACTTTGAATTCAAAAATTTTCAGCATACACATGGTCTGTCGTTGCAAGTCTTATAAGTTGCATAGATATCAGCCTTGCTATTTCAGAACTTTTGCTCCATACAGCAAGATTGGGCCCAGGATAGTTCGAAAATAAGGGAACGAAAGGAAAATCTACCATAGGCTGATACACAATTTGAAAAATTGCATTTTTCTGCCACCTTAGAGACAACGATCAATTAGATATTTCGAGTCTCTTGCAGAAATTCTTACCTCTTTTGTAAAAAGAATTTGTGAGATATTGGATTGATATCCCTTCTCAAGATCATTGGCTACACAATGTATTAGTCTGTGCTATTCTACTACATTTCGAATTTAGTTACGAACTGACATAATAGGTGTTTCCGATAATAAGTGCTTGACAATCTTCAAGCTAGAAGACGGGATATTAACCCAAGATTTCATCTTTAGATAACTGCTGCAATATTTCAAGAACATATATGTACTACTGCCAATGAAATTTATTATGGTTGCGACCTTAAAAATTTATGGTGATTTGAAGATGAACTTTAGAGAAAACGAGCGACCTTCTGATACAACGTGATATATCTCTTACAATTCCTCCCCGAAAATCTGTAGCTCTTGGAGTAATCTGAGGGCAGAAGCCTTGACAGCTTAATCTTTTCGCGAGAATTTCAAATAGTCTTATAAATTATTTACTGCACTATTCGTAATGAGGTTTGGCTTAAGCTAAATTTCTTTCCAGAATAAAGATTAGCATAGTTGAATCATGAGTGGGTTTTCCTTCTCTAACTAATTGTACCACTGGGAACGCGAATGTTTTACAGAAGCATAAAGCTCAAGTCCTTTTCCAAAATCCACTGCACTTAGCCAAAAAGTCCGCATGCCATTAAACCCATAACTCAAAAAGTACAGCGGTCGTTTTCAAAGACATTGACGTCATATTCCCATTTGCATCCATCAGAATATTAGATTAAGAGGCATCTTAATCTGCTACAGCTAAACCCCGTTGTGGCCGACCTCAGCTAATGGGTTGAATTATGCGCTTTTTATTTGTTCACAAGGGGTCTATGCGACTCTTAAAAGAGCCCAGACCTTCCACGATTTTTTCCACTAGAGTCCGGCACGTGGTATCGGTTCAAATTGGATATCGTTCTTTTGTAGGGGGGGGGGGGAGCTTAGGAGAAACCGTTTTTGTTGGGACGGGAGCTCCAAATTTTTGTGCACATGCGCTTGTAGGACCTCTGTGACTGAGAAATTTATACTTGAACTTATATGAGTGGAAGTCGTGCCCAACTTTTCCCCAAAAACTGGCATTTCATCTGGGTACCGCCCTTTGCTCATATAATTTTATCTGCTTATCGGAAGCTTCCATGCTAGCACAAAGCGTCATATAATCTTTTCTCTACGTTTCTTTATATTCCTTGGCAAATTCTCTAAGGTGTTGCAATCCTGCTCCAATTGCAAAGCGTGCCCTAAGCGAACCCATGCGCCTAAACCTGTAGTGGCTATTTGACCTCTCCGAAGGACAAAGAGACTTCGCAAAAATTTTGCAAAATCAAGGCGGGACCTCATTTCAAGAAGTTCGTGGTCAGCTCGTGCATAGCCTTGGGTTTGAGTTAATCGTCCCTTCCAAAGGTTGTTTCCGCAGTTTTCCTTCCGCTTTGAGGTCAGCGTTTTGAAATAATTATGGCTGACAAGTTTTGATGGAAAACTTAGCGATTCGAGCTGTCAGCACTGGAAAAAACCCAAGCCATCTATCTCGCTGATCGTACGCTTGAAAAGTTCCGCTGACAGCTTTTAGTGATGGCACATAAGTGCTCTAAGCTCAGGCTTTTTCCAAGCGACAAGTAGCGCAAGCTTTCACCGCTCCTTTTCTTTCTCTCGCGAAATGCCTATAGCTTTGAAAGCTAATTCCACGTAAGCTGGGCATTTATGCTGGCTTATTCACAGCTAGAACTGAGGTCGTCCAGTATTTGCTCCACGCGAAAATGCACAACTTGTGCCAGGGCAGGTGGAAATCTGTTCTGCGCATCTACTGCTCATCTTTACTCGTTACAAAACATTGAAACGCGTCGCGTCAGTGGACGCAACCAGCGTACTGGTTGCATGCTGGAAAAGTGCAAAGTTATGTGAACACATACGTACACGGAAATAGATAACTCTGTCATTCAAACAAATTGTAACTCCAAACTCAACCCTCTCTTGTTGAAGCAGAGCGCGACGCTTATACGAGAAAGACAGAAACATTTCCGTAACTACAAGGGAGTGGTTAGAAAGTGGCCAGTACAAACAAGCTGCATACCATCAGATGCAGCATACAACGCTGACTTTATATATGTATTCCATATCTGCTTAGCGCCTATTTGGACAAAGTTATGAACCGTTATGTGACAAAGTTATGAACCAATGTGCTCTTTCGCAATCTTAATGTAACATTTTTCGCAGTGGAACTGCTCATAACTTCGTCCACAGAGGCGCTAAGCAGATATGGAACACAGATTCGAAATCGGCGTTGAATGCTGCATCGAATGGTAGGCAGCTTGCTTGGATTTGCCACTTCGACTTTTGACCATTTTCTTGTTAGTCGCGGGAACACCTGCCATCGCCCAGCCCTTGCCTCCGCAATATGCGTATGCTGATCCACTCTCTCGGCCTCCTCTCTCTCTTTCTCTACCTATTCTCAGACCAATGATACCGTCCAAATAGCAGCAAAAGAGACAGGAGCTGTTCATTATACTTTGCCAAGCGAGTCCGAGTTCATCGCTGGATCTTACGCCCGCGCAGCCTACTTTACGTGGGTAGCCTCCTTCATCTAGGACTAGCCAATAGAATGCTTTTGGTCTGAAAATTTTACAAAAACTCGTCAGTTACGCCCACAAAACCGTAAAAAGTGTTCAGACGCTTCATGGTCTCCACTTAAAGCGTTCAGCAAACCCAAATTGACTCTTGATTGCTTGACTTTTTTACCAATGCTGTGCGTTCACATTAGCTCTCCTATTACTTCACGCGAAATACCTAACGCACGCTATTTAATCGAAACAGCTGAGGGCGGAGCATACTGTGCAAAAAAAAAGTTGAGTTGTTTGGTTATTCGATAACAATCCTCACCACCCCCGTTCAGCTCAGTTTCACATACTATATAAGGAGTAATCTGCGCACTTTCTCAATTTCCTAGTAATCTGCGCACTTTCTCAATTTCCTAGTAATCTGCGCACTTTCTCAATCTGATTATCCTTTGTGCTTACTTGTATATCAGTCCTACTCCAAGTACAAACAGATCACCAGTGGAGCGTCTATAAATCACTTCTGTCGTCTCCTTGCTCTTTTGTTATGTATTTCTCGATTGCTCAGATGTTGTCGCTCTCTCAAAAATTCTTCTCCAAAAAAAATTTCAAATTTCAGGTATGTTTTCTCTACGACCAATCGTCCTGGCTCTTCTCGCCATCACATTCCTCGTCTGTGTGATTGATGCTAGGATAGCGGACCAATACGGTAAGCATACGGCCAAGTCATTCGTAATTTAACATGTGAGATTGCACACTGCGTGCGGCAACTGACGACACCTTACTGGTAATCTACTACCAAACTTTTTAGAAAAATTGTGGAAATGAGTACTACGATCCAATACAATCCAAACAAATAAAAAAAGAGAAGAAAACATTGAAAAGTTCTAGAAAATTAACGAACTCTAATCTAGTCGTGAATTAGCGCGTGTGGTGTGCAATACGCTGACTCGACTATATTAGGTCAAAGTGATTTTTTGCCGTAATAAGGTTCATAAAAGAGCTCTACTTTTCTTTATAATCAATGCACCTAACTGGCGCCAGATCTTACAAAATTCTAGTGTGATGAACTACGGTGGATACGATTTGAACTTAGCGTTGTTGACGTTACCCCAGCTTGAAGTATACACTGGCTTGAGTGAAAAATGACGGAAGTAGTGAGATTTTATGGCTTTCATGAAATCGTGACAACAAATTTTATTGCGGTCTTTCCGCCCGCCCGGAAGTCACGGGAGCATAGAACGCTCGAACAAAAATTACTGCTTAACCTAGTTCGTCAATCCAGGTAGAGGGCATTGCCAGTTAGATAGAGTCGCATCGGCTGAGGATATTGCTTATGCAAAACATCACAACACTCCAAACCACAAACAAACTAGATCACCTCCGTTTCTCAAAATGATTCAAGTGAACGAAAGCAAAGATTTTTTGACATCAAAAAGATAGAGTTCTGTTGGCATTTGTGTGAGGAATGGCCGAATTCACTATTAGGCATAGACTTACGCGAACGCAATGCAGATTTTCGAAAACTCGATATTCGATTGTTTTAAATAATTTTATTTCGAATATACTCGATGTTCGATTATTCGACATTTTGATTTTGGAAAACATTCAAATTTCGGTATTTTTTTTTCGAAAGTATTCGAGATTGCCTTATTCAATATTTTGTTTCCGAGTTTATTTGGTTAATCGATTAATCAAAAAAAATTTTTTGATTGTTCCACAGTATAGTGGCTATAGAGCACGCATTATCGTTTAAGCGCAAATGATGCCAAAATTGCACAGGAAACTCTTATACTGACCGCCAAATCTAGGCTAAATATCATCAGAAGTGCCTTCGGATCTTGCTTCCAATCTTCAAATCCGACTCTGTGGAACAAGTTTCGAGTGCAAATCAGAACTTTGAAATATCTAGCGACATGAGCTCAGCGGAAAGCTGTAAAATTACTTCCAAGTTCGATCTTGTCCTGGGCATCGAATATAAAAATGTACGGCACAGCAAAACTAAAAAGCTGTAAAATCACTTACGCAGATTTCTATCTGTATATTTCTTCTTTGCGGTCAGTGCAGAGGTGAATCATCGCACGCAGAGACACAACTTCTTTGCGGATGTCCGCGTCTCCCCTCCAACTGTCTGTTGTCTCTGCCAAACACGTACTATCTCATGTAACACGTCCATTTTTTGCGTGATATGAGTGGCTATATTTCTTCCAAATTCTGCTGAGCTCATTATTTTCTGTTAGTGAACTTCTTAGGAATTTTCATTCCTCTACATGCGTGTTGCGGATATCTAACTGCTATCACTTTTTAACGCATGTCTAGATTTCGAGAAAAACTGAGCGATACATGCTATGTAAAGTGACTCGTTTCACCAAGCAATTTCAGGGTTTCGAATTACATATCCCCTCCACTCAAAATTTCAATACCGCACAAAACCTATTACAGTACACCTCTGCTTTGATGCATATCTAGCGACTTGCATGTGTCATTCGCGCTTCAAATTCGCCATAGGAAAATCAAAAGTTATATGAGTTGATGAACTAGTCAAGCGTGTACTACAAAAAAAGTTCGTGTGCATTTGAGAACATTCATTAAAAAATAGGGTACATCTGGCGGGGGAAAGAAACTTTTTTAAATGATGAGATATGGTGTTCGCCTTAAGAGAATTTCTGGGAAATTTTCTAGAGTTTTTGACGGCCTCCTTTTCTAGGATGACCCCGATCCTAGAAAAGAAATAAGGCATCCCCAAAAAATTTACAATTAAGTTTAATTTTGAAATTTTCGCTCGAAGGATCACCGTTTGCGGTCTTCTTACCCCACAGTGTTAAGAAGTAAACCGCTGTCTGGGAAACAACCAACTCTAGTTTATAGTCGAGTTCAGCGCAGCGCGGACGTCGCTGCTGCGGCGACAACGTTGTCCGCCTAACGCGTCGCCGGTGACGCAACCAGGGCAATGCTTGCTATTTATCCCAAACAGTACTTTTCCACATATTCAAAACAGTGACCGGAAGTTCTGCTGGATCATCGGATATTCACTATTCAGGGACTTTCCGCAAACCTTTGTGGAAGTGCTGCGGAAATATTCAATTTTAGTCGGACCGTCAAATTCCAGAAGTTCCCTTTTTGCGACAATCAGCTTGTGTGACAATAAACAAAATCTTGTGGAATCGCTGCAAAATTTTCTTGTCCAGCAGAAGTACCCAAGGTTTCTAAGTAGAAGCAGCGATATCTATCAACTATAGATTAAAAAGCTACAGATCTCCTTTGCAGAAGACTCGATGGCCCTTCCAGTAACTGCCGGTGATTACCGTCTTCGAGGCTGGAGTGACTACATTACTGCGCACAAGCGAGTCCCGTCAGCAGGTGATATGATGGTTCGATTTGGAAAACGATCTGTCTAGTTGCTAGTGGCTTTGTCGATGATCTCCATATTTCTTGCCCGTTGTCCTCGCTAGTGTCGCCGTCATGATGTTACACTTGCAGTCATTTGCTTGTCTGAGTAAAGTTCCTATATTGGTGCGCATATATATTCTATTGCATCAGTCGATGTTTGTTGAGAGAAACGAATCTGTGCATCTTCGTACTCAATAAAGATTGCATGCGTTCGCTATCACTTCCAATCGTATACAATCGAGTACATCGATATAGTGTGCATGCGGGCCGGGGAAATGCGGTAAATTTTGCGCGTGGACAAATAGCTGCGCCCGTGATGCCAGCCACTTGCGCGCGCAAAATGCCAGCATTACTGGCTGGCTATCTGTTTACGCGCAGATTTTATCGCATTTTCGCGGCACCTTAACTAGCCGAAAACTTATTCGACTGTATAGGCAATTCATCGCACGCAAAGAATGGACGTCGTTGCGTCCGATCAGGACAATTTTTTCCAGTAATTGTTATTATTTCAAAAAAATTTATGCCGTGACCCACCATGTGGGTCACATTGTCCCATGTGGCAGTCATTGCATGACCCACCGTGTGGGTCACGTTGTCGTCAATGTGTTAATAATGCCTAGTAAACGAAACCAACATTTGCAAAAAAAACTGTTTTTTGCTTGTGTATTTCTCACTGACTAGCCCGAAAACAATTTCTCAACGATTGGGTTAGTACGTGAGTCTTACCCCCAAAAACGTTAAAAAAAACGTTTTGAAAGCGTTCATATAATTTTTGAAAAGTATTACTTATTATTTGTAACATACAATATATCAAAAGTTGTATCTTATCCTAAACATCAGAAGTTTTTTCGACTTAAAAAAGTTGACTAAAAAAATTCGGTACATTCCTGCATACCGGTTGACAATCGCTGATGTACTGTATGGCTATTTACCTCTATTTCATCTCAGCCCTCACCCTTTGATTACGCCGGACGCTTCCAGCACTGTTCAACTTGCCAAGGGAAGTTCACCCCTTGCTAATGAGCCAAAAAAATCGAATCGATTGTGTGTCCTGTCTTATAATAAGTGTCGCTGTTATGTCGTCTATTAATGTGACCCAAGCTGGCTAATCTTGGTCCTTAACGTTGTGGTAAACAGCAGAGAAGAGGTAGAGTGTGCGTGCATCGAGGAGGTGCGGGACGACCTCTTAAACCCCCTTCGACGTTCTAAACAACAGCTCTCACGAACTCTTATAGGCTCTCGATAAGAGCTGTGTTTCTGCGTCTCCACATTTCCCCCCACCCCCAGATCTTACGATCAGTTGCGTTGGAAGAGCGCTTTCCTTACGTAACGTCGATTACGCACGGATGTTGCCAGCCTATCCACCAGCCGCCTTTGATCCAACACAACCATTCAACTACAATCCCTATGGATATGGGTAAGACCTAATCTGACTTTTTTTCCCATTGGGAAGTTCCCATTACCCTGCTTTAGTGTCTCCTTCACGACCGCCTATGGAGCTCCACCATCTATGCATCCCGGCATCCAAGCATGTACCATCAGCCCTTTCTATGACTCAGCTCACTCCAAGTCCTCATCTCCTGCTTGTAGCAAATCCGAGTCCGAAAGCTCACTGGATTGCTCGGATGAATACAGGAAGTTTGTTTTTGTTCTTTAGTGCATTTCAAGCATCAAAATGTTGGTACAAGGCATTGACTGTGGAAGTCGATGAGAACCATTTGCTCGAGGAACATGCCAGAAGATTTTTCTCAGCTTTCTTTCTCCTTTCAACGCTTTTCTGATACAGGATTCCTGCTTCCAATCACCAGGGGTGATTCCGTTTGTCTGAGTAAATTAGGGCCTTGTGGAGTCTGCATGAGCAAAGTTCGCAACCGACAGGACCTTCGCGATTAGTCAAAGCCCCATATACTGCTTTTAAAAACTGTCGTTTTGCTTGTAAAGATCAGCTACAGCATATTTACTGCCTTTGCTTTGCTGTTTCCTTTATTATTTTTTGACATTTATTGATTTTTTAAGATATTTTCTTGCCGCAATCGTTTGCACCAAAATTTCATTCTTTACAAGGATTAATGTAGAAATTTTGATCAGATCGTCTCGCCTGTTGCCTTCACTCTTTTTTCATGCTATAAACAGGTTTCTTGAATTTTCTAGAAAAATCATGGCAAAGCGGGCGAATTATGGCTTCAAGATAAGAACCTTATGAACTTCTAGATTTGTACTCTATGTATAGATCTCTGAGCTTGAAAAAAACATGAAGTCGGTTCCTTTTATGCACCCGTATGATACGAAATTCAATTGAGGCAGCTAATCTTTACTGAAAACTTCAGTCATGTGGGTCATTAACTTTTGCTGCGAGGAAAGCATTTCAATGTCCAAAAAACACAAAAAATCTAGAACTTTTTGAAATTATATGTACATGTGAACTTCTCAATCAAACATCACTGTACTTAAGATTTCTGTTAATTTTTGTTGTTGTTTAATAACATCTGTTGCTCAGCAAGCGTTTAAATTATTCCCAAGAAAAAATTTCTGAGGTAGAGGACCTTGCTCAAATAATCTGCTTAAAGAACTTCGTGCTGTCTCTATGCAGTAATATTAAGTATGTATTTCTTCCAGAAAACGAGAGAAACGCGATCGAAACAACGAGGCCGCGCGAAGCTCACGTTTAAGACGAAAAGCACGTGAAAGCCGTCTCGCAAAAGAAGCGGAGGTGCTACAAAAAGAAAACCAAGTGCTAAGAGACGAAGTCGGCGAACTAAAAAAGGTAAAACTATCGTCAATTAACAAGGGAAGGAAGGTTAGTCGAAGTGGCCTTTTGAAATGAGGTGTTTACGGCCTTGTAGGGCTTGGAACGCTAATTCGAAATCTACCTTTGCTATCTGCTGCGGGCTTCTGGGTGAGGAGTTGTGAAGGTTTTTGTGAGTAAAAATCTGAATGCAAAAATAGGGTAAAATCAGTCGTAACCTTTTCCCAATGTTCAAATGATGTAGCAGCGAATAGGTATATTTGAATCAAGAATATTTGTTGCACCGAGTGACCCGACTACCAACTAAGCCCTATAAAAAATGTTACGACTGATTTTAGCCTACTCTTGCATTCAGATTTTTACTCACAAAAACCTTCATAACTCCTCGCCCAGAAGCCCGCAGCAGATAGCAAAGGTAGATTTGGAATCAGCGTTCCAAACTCTACAAGGCGGTATACATCTCATTTCAAAAGACCACTTCGACCAACCTTCCTTTCCTGGTAAGATTATTACCGGAGACATATAGCCGCTTCATCACACGCAGAGACAGGTCGCAATGCGGACCCCATCGGTTACCTCTCCGCGTGCAATAATTGCGTATAAGTACTTCCACAACATGAAGACAATATTTTCAGGTTTTCTACAGCTTGCAAGAAGAAGCGAGTTGTCGACGAGTCACTGGCGATGTAGCAGGAAATTTCACAATTTATCAAAATATAGGCTTTCCTTACGAAGAAAAAGTATTGTGATTTCTGTCTGGCCCCTTCCAACTGTGCTTTTAATATGGGTTTTATTATGTGTTCCTTTTGCTGATTTGCTCTTCGTTTATTGGAATAAAGGTAGTAAAAGTAGAAGACTGAATTCATTCACAGTTGCCTATCAACAGCAGACTTTTTGAAGCTGAGGGTTTCTAGCTTTCTGTTCTGTAGTTGCACAGATTGCGAAAAATCTTAATCTTATGACATTTTGAAGCGGATGACGTTTGTACTTTGCAAAATGAAGGCCTGATATTATAAACGGCTTTCAAAGCCTTCGAATCCTACAACTTTTGTAGTATTTTGAAGTTTTTGTTATGCGCATTCACAATTTGTAGTATTTTGAAGTTTTTGTTATGCGCATTCACAGTGCTTCTGAGGAAACATTGGATAACAAAGGACTACTTTAAAAAAGATAGAGAAAGGACTGGAACTGATAAAGGTCGGCTCTAGATGCGGTCGGCTTCCCCTTAAAACTCGGGAATGAACATTCTGAAGATTTCAAGTTACACAGAGCAAAAACGGATTCGCATGCTTGTAGATATTTTTAAACAATATGGAAGAAATCATGGTCAACGTAACTGACAAGAGAAGAAGATAATTGCGTTGTATATCGGTCAGAGTATTTGTATGCCATTATTCTATTTGATTTGCTTAAAGGTTGAAGAAGTGGTAGAGATGAAGATTGAAGAAATACTATTATTTTAAATTCAGCCTGGTTTGGGCAGTTATAGTTACCAAAATAATAACTATTTGTTAGTCATCACCAAACAATGTTATCAATTATCAAGCAATCGTATTTATGTTCAGTTAGAAAAATTTCGTCACTTTTAGAATAAGGTAGGAAGAAAAAGAGGAAAGCAAGTACTGTTATCTCATAGTACAGGATGTCAGTAAAGTACGTATACACTGTTTGATCGTTAATATCTCTTTTCCTGAAAAGTCTTTTGCCTTGCTTTAGGTACCATTTTGTAGAGCTGGCTTCAACTCTTAGATATAGGTTATAGAGCGAATCACCCAACTTTCTTCTTAATGCAGGATTAAGGTGGAAACTTCAAAGAGGTTTTTGAGCTATGAAAGGCCGTATTTTGCCTCAAAGGGAACAAAACAGCAAGGTAGCGGCCATTTTTTCAATGTTCCTAAAAAGTGCGGTTACACGTTTAGAAAGCTTCACAATCTTGTGAATAGATGAGTATTGAACTCAGCATCCATAAAAACCCTATTACACAAGTTTTGACATTTTTTTATAAAATTTTGGAACGACAGCTTTTTCCACATTGACACCATATGTTTCAAGTTTCTACCGTAATCCTACAGTAATGAAGAGAGATTGGTGATTCGCTCCATACTGTAAATCTAAGTTGAAGCCAGCTCTACAAAATGGTACCTGCAGCAAGGCAAAAGACTTCTTGGGAAAAGAGATATTAACGATCGAACAGTGTATACATACTTTACGGACACCCTGTATATTCTGTCCATTGACCAGCAAAGTATTGTGCACATCCCTTGTTTCAAGATGTAACCTTCCAAATCGTCGCTATTTCTTTCGAAAGTCTGGAGTCGATTGTTGGGATGAACGAGTTAGGAAGAAACATATTCCGTGTCTCCTGACATCCAAACAAATTTCAATCATAGCTAATTATAAAGTGTTATACTGTACCTGTACGGCTTTGTGCGATTAGAAAATTCTAGGCATCTTTGCGAAATCATAGAAAGCTTTCGCTCTAAAGTTCTTCTAGTAACGCTTGAAGGATATATCTAAAATTTGACAGACCATTCGCGTGAGGGTCTGACAAAGGATGCGAACATTTTTTGGCAGCGTGGCTGCCAAGTTTTCTTCCTATATTCATCACTGATAACGCAAAAGTTAGAAATAGGGGAGATGGGAAGGGGAGGGAGATCTCAATTTGTAAGAACAAAAAAAAATAAAAAGAGTTTCTGCCTGTACTAGCTGGTTTTCGAGCCCCACAAAAAATCGAACCAATTAACCGTTTTCGATTTTGGTTTTAAGTAAAAAAGCGTATATTGAGTGTTTGAATATGTGTTTTAAACCATTACGTGATTTGAAATAAGGTTGACACATAAATCCAGATATAATATGTAGTCGCAGTAAAGGCTTGAAGATTTATGATCTTTCCAAACTCCAAAGAATATAATGGTTTAACGATAAAATCGAAATATCCTGACTTTCCAAGTAAACCTAAAGCGAAATATATTATTGCCATATCGCAAAGATACGAATTGTTAAATAGAAACAGTCAAGAAGTGGTTATTTGAATTTCGCTCCAAAAAATACTAAAACGTCCATTAAACTCTCATTTCGGTTCTGCTTAGGATGTCCTTTCTATCTATGAGAAACTGTCTTGATACATTTTGGCAAGAGTTGTTCTTTTGGATTTTTCATTCACCTTTTTCTTTCAAGTTGAAAAAAAAACTCTACCATTTATGAGAAGAGACAACTTTTGGCATATAAATGTTTTGTAATGTTCAACTTGTTATGTATTGTTATAAAAAAATCCGGTGATTTAGAAGTGATATCTAAACATTTTCTTTATATTTTTGTTGCAAGACTTATTCCACCAAATATCCTCCAGAAAAAAGATGAAAAAGAAAATAACGTCTTGATTTGTCAAACATAGCCCATTCTTCTATTTACCTAACGCAGTTGGTTCTAGCACTCAAACCTATCCAGAACACTTCCCGACGTACTTAAATGGTTATTCCTAAAGGGAGGGCACGGTGCTGGGAGAGAGCACAAAACTTGAGGACCCCTCGCTCGACCCCGCGTTGCCCTCCCACCGGCGCTATGTCTTCCGTCTCTTCGATCAGCACGACAAAATGGCCCTCTCATCGGCATGCCACAGTACGCACGAGGGGTGCCCCCCGTCCTCGCGTGACCCCGTGGGCCGTGCCATTGGCTTCGCTCACTCAGTGTTGCGCAACGGCCGTGTTCGCTTGCGTAATCTGTAATTCTATCACCTACACACTATGCTGCCAGCTTTCGCTCAGACGGCTTTTGATCCTACACCGTTCGCCTATACTCCCTATGGCTATAAGTAAGTTCAATTAAACGTAATTACGCTTAATTACCCCAGTCTTTGTCTTTTTGGCAGCGTGGCAAAATGCCTGAGGAAGGTTAAGTGCTCGAGGACATTCTCCCCTTCTCCTTCTCTTAATCATCCCCATTCCAGCCCTTCTTTGGCCGGGTATGGCACGCCAGTGGCATCAATGCCTCAATCCTACTATCAAGATACTCCTTCCTATGCGAAATCCGAATCCGACTCGACACCTGAGGAAAAACGAAAAGATCCATTGTCCGTTAGCTCTCTTGAGTGCAGCACTGATGCCTCTTTCTTGATTTTCTTTTTTTTTCCTAATCCATTTTCAGGTGTTTTAACCCAAATTATTAGTTACTCTAAGGTTTCAGCAATAGCCACCTTCATACTGGTATGTTTAGTGGGAAAGAAGTGAATGAGAATGCTGTGCTTGGAAAAATCTCAAAAGATCATAACTGAATGTTTGGGAAGAGTGTGAAATAGTGTTGAGAGAGAGCAAATAAGTCTTGACCCCTCATCTTATCTTTTTCAGGTATCTCGCCAAACGTCATAAAAATAACTTGGCCGCACAAAAATCACGCAAGATAAGGTTCGTCTTGAAGCAAAATATTGTGGAATGTGTAAGGGAAAATTTAACGAAAGTTTGACATAATGATGAGCCAATATACTAAAAATCACCGAGTTTTTTGATTTTCTCCATGCGCTTTGATCGAAAGTGCTAAAAATAAATCAAGAAAACTTGACATGATGCTCTTTTTTAAAAAGGCAAATATTTCTGAATTTGTTTTCCACTTGCAAGAGTATTGAAACATTTTAATCTTGTGTCTACGAAGCCCTTGTGTGTTCTGATATTTTGACAAATGAAAATGAATTTAAGAAGATTTTCTGCAATAAAGGTCACGATCTCAAAATAAGCGAATTTTTGGAGAGCTAAAGGACTCAAAAAATAACTTCTAATTCTTGCTGGATTCAAAATTTGCAGTCCTAATTAGGCAATTTTGAAGCAACAAAAATTTAGTCAGCGATAAATCAACTATAAATAATTGATGACTACGTAATTTAGTGGAAACCTTTTTTTAGGAGGCAAAGAGAAGAGTCGCTAACAAAAACAGCGGAAATGCTTCGAGCAGAAAACGAGAGCTTGAAAAACGAGATCATACAGTTGCGGGAGGTGAGAAATTGTTTTTATTTCTTGTCAAAAAAAATTCCTGAACAATATCCCAAGTAGGTGTTGCTACCAGCAATAAACTGATTTTTTTGCGTTTGATTTTTCAGATGATCACGGACTTGCGGAAGCAGTTAAACTCGTCCAATCCGAATTCTACAACCATTGAGCCAATGCGAGAAAGTAGCAACATTATTCGAGACACCTATAACCCTTACCAATCTTTTCAACTCGGCTTCAGCATCAACAGCCAGTTGTAATTCGACATCTGTATAATTGAAAATTCCGGTTTCACCAACATCACACTGTTTCGGGTCGCAGTGTTGTGTTTCACATTGACGAAAAACACCAATTTGTTAATAAATCTGCATATTCTATTGCACTTTTGTATTTCCTCTATCCAGTCGTCAAGCTAGCTACCGTAATCCTATGCGTGCCGTGACCTTAGCGCGTTTCCAACTGTTATCGCATGTTTGCATTCGACAGGAGGGGTGTGGCGGTGCTCCTTTTTCTCGCCCCCTCTCCCTACTCCTACTCTCCTTCTCACATACGATGAGTTATTATCAAGAGCATTACGCACAGTATGACATATGGGGCTGTACCTGTTGCGGGAAAGCGAGGATAACATCTGCTGCACACCTGCACTTGATCCGAGCTCAGCGGATGTGCTGGAATCCTGAAAAAAAAAGCTGGACAGGGGATTTTTAGGTTTTGATACAACAACGATCTTTTTATTATTGTCCAAGTTCGACCGTCGCTCAATCTCGGCATTG